AATTATCAAATCTTTTTAAAAGAGGGAGATCCTTTGCTTCGACCTCTATGAGAGCAGCTCATGTGTCCCTAGATTGGTGCTGCTCCCTAGAGTCTTCTCCGTATATCAAGACAAATCTAAATTTACATTTTGATAAGCTTTGTCTCTCTTAATTAATTTACAAGAGTCTCATTTCTAAGCTCTTTTACCCATTTCTTTTAAGGTCAAACTAAGGCTTTCTTTTTCAAAGAGTTTTTTTGATTTTTTTCTCAGCCATACTATGGGCTAATTTTTTCTTTAAATAGATGTATTTATTCTACTTTTTAAAAGAATTTGTTTGACATATGATACTGCATGACCCTTTTTACATAAAAAAGCAGACTCCTTCGCATTATTTCTACTTTCATAAAACTAAATCTATTAAATTTTGTTTTATTAAGATTTTTGAGATCATTATTGTTGTTTAAACCGAAGTAAACCTTCGGCTTAAAAGTATGTTTGACAGATATCCATCCATCATCATTTACTTGATAAAGCTTAAGCCCAGTCTTGGGAGCTTTCCTTTTATCAGCTATTACAGCAGAAGTTGCATTTAAGTGCTATCTCACTGCTCTTTTGTTTATGTAATTTTTATTTTTAATTACATTTGTTTTATTAGAAACATCTTTAATAGAAATTTTTTGATCTTCTGACAATCTACCTTCTTCCCTCTTTTCATCAAAAGAATTTATTTTATTAACATAAATTAGATTTCCTAATTAACTGTTTCCATACTAGAAATACTTTTTTCTGTAGTAATTTCATGAAGAATTTCACTACTAAATATATTTTGGCACTCAGTTATAGTAACTTCATAACCTTTATTTTTTTTTTGAATGATTTTACCACCACTTCAAAATTATTTTCTGGTGATAAAATTTCGCCGTTGACGGCATCACTCAACAATTTGTTTTTTTGCAAAATTTTTGTTTTACTGGTGCATTTATCATTTATAGGGAAGCTATCTTTTTTAAAGTAAGATTTAAATAAATTATTTGTTGAAGACACTCTGTGGCCAATATTACTAATTTCGTTTTTACGGATTAGTGTTATGAAAACAATATTTAGATGTTTTTCTGATATTTCTATTTTTTGTGGGGTGAAAATAAAAATTTATTTAAATAATAAATTTTTTTCTAGAAAATTAATAATTTTCTTTACATGTGGATTAATACCACATTTACATTTTTGTTCTTCTAGTTTACTGTAAAAGAGTCTTAAGTATTCCTGTTGAGTTGTAATCAACTCGTAGTAGCTAGAAACATATTTTTTAAGATCATCTAGATCTTTTTTCTTTATTTTCTTGAACTGTCGAAAAATCGTTTTTGCTAACTCTTTCAAAAAAAAATTTAACTACTTTTAAGAATATTATAATTCTCCACTTTTCTTGTAATACACGCCAAGAGTGCTACCATCAGCATAATCGTGCTTAATTTTGTCTTTTAAATACATTTAAGTATCTAAATATTTGTTTTAAGTATCAAAATACACATCTTGCAAACTTTTCTGCTTGCTCTTGTTTTATTATCATAAAATTTCATACTTGTCAAATAACTTTGTGTACTAAAAAGCGTATTTTGTAGTATATTTATAGAAAAGCAAAACATTAAATGTCAATATTTTTATTTACAAGCAGCAAAAAAGAATGTAAAGAACAATATTGAATATAAATATTAAAGAAAATTATATTCATATTTGTGTTATTTTTTTCTTTCATCCTTTTTCACAAACTTTTACTTATCTGTTAAGCTTCTAAGCAATGAAATAGATATTGAACAGTTTCATAAATGTTTAATAAAAATAAAAAAGATGTGCATAAAATTTGTAGGAATGGCTTCAACACATATCAAAGATATCTTCTATATCATGAGATATCTGACATGTTGTGAGTTAAATAATTTATAATAAATAAACCCATGTTTATAATGCCAACAAAATTATCTTCTATATATAAAAAAAGTTTAAATTTGAACATTTTTTTATTTTTTAACCCTTCTTTTAATGATTTTGTAAAATTCTTTGTAGTTTTTTTAAAGAACGAGTAGCATCATTAAAGGTTTTATTTTTCTAAGAACGGAACGATGTTTTTGTGCATTTTCTCTTGCTTTTATTTGGTTGTATAAATCTTATACAAAATGTCTATAGCAAATTTTATTTTTTTATAAAAAAAGGGCAATTTGTAACTTAAAATAACAAAATAAGTACATACATAAAGGCACATCATATCTATAAAATCCATAAAAAGAAAGAACACACATTATTTTGATCTTGTTTTCAACGGGACAGCGCAAGCTATTCTAATATAGTTTCTTAAAATTTATCCTTTTTAATAATTATTTCTAATTTCCTTAAAACTTTATTTTTTATTTAGCCCTTAACTTTTTATGCATAAAAGTGATTCTGAAGAAGATAAAGAGAATTGGTGTCAAGAGTTTACTAAGTATTTTACACAAATAGACGCATCTCAAATAATTCATATTTCATTAGAAATTTTTCTACAAAATATTCAAATTGATAAAGATCAATTAAAAAAATATATAATATTTGCTGTAGGACACTACAATAACATTCCTTACCACAATGCTACACATGGACTAAATGTATTGTATTCAGGATCTATATTTCTTAAATATTTATCTCGGTACAATTTAGACAACCAAACTAAGTTTATTTTTCTTACATGTTGCTTTTTACATGACATTAACCATCCTGGATTAACAGAATACAAATCATCTACTCTAGATTTTGAATATCATCATGTTAAATATGTAAAAGAATCCCTTTTAAGATACTTTCCTAAATATATTACCGATCAGAATTTATTATTAATTACAGATCTTATATTATCTACAAATTTAATAATGCATGAAAAGATAATCTCTGAATTTAAAAAAAAATATAAAAATTATATTAAAAAAGAAATAGGGATTTTAGAATTAAAAATGCTTATTAAATTAGCAGACATAAGTGCGTCATACAAAAAGTATGAGAGTTTCATATGTGGAAGTAAATTGTTAGAACAAGAAATATTTGGGAAAAATTTATTAAATTGCAAAAATAAATTACAGGAAGATACAGAATTTTTACTTAAATATTCGCTTCCACTAGCTAAAACATTTTCTGCTATTTTTACAGAATTTAAGTTTTTACATGACAATGCTTTAGAAAATTTGAGAATATTAAGGAACCAATAAATTTATTATTTTTTACCCATTGCATGGAACATTTTTTAAAACTGAAAACTCTTATTGATGAATCAGAAAATATTACAAAAATAAATTTACAGCTAGAAAAGTGCTTAGATAAATTACTTGATAAACCAGATAAAGCTAAATTTTGTATTTTGTATTATTTAATAGATATGATAAATGAGGAGAGTAAAATTAAAGAAAGAACAAAAAAGGTTATTAATTTAGTTAGATTTCCATTGAAATTTAATTCTAAAATAGATTATTGATAATGTAAAATTTAATTCTAAAATAGATTATTGATAATGTAAAATATTATTTAAATTTAATTCGTAAAAAGATCATTAATAAAGTCAGATTTCCTTTAAAGTTTTATTCTAAAATAGATGATTAATTTTTTTAGTTTTTCTTTGAAGTTTAATTCTAAAAAAGATGATTAATTCAGTCAGATTTTTTTTGAAGTCTTATTCTAATAAACATTATTGATATAGTCAGATTTTTTTTGAAGGTTGATTCTTATAAATTTTATTTAATGTTATTTCTACTTGTTCTCATTTCATAAATTATTATTTAATTTTATAAAGGCATAAAAATTATCTGCATATTTTTTTAAAGAAACAAATGCTTTTTAAACATTAATAGTTTTATTTATGAACTATCAAGAATATATATAAAGTTTTTAATATTAATAAATTATTTATTGATAAATTCTTTTTAGAGAAATGTCAGTTTGTCAGATTCTTATAGTGTTTTTAATTACAAAGTTTTCAGATTACCTAAACATCACAGTAATTTATATATATAAAAAGTTTGAATCCCAATTTAATACCTATTTAACAATTGAAATTTTATATTTAAAACGAATTTGCATAAAATAATTTTATTAGACAAAACATAATGCAATGATGTTTACATAAATTTAAAAAAAGTGATATTAATTTTTTTTAGTTCTGTTGGTTTTTTATTTATTCATTGAATATTTTATATCATGCTATTTAACAATTTAATATAATATTTTTGTATTGTATACTGGTACTTTATCAAGTTTATACTGTAATTATTTGTCATTTTAAATATTAAAATTTTTCACATGAATTGAGAATATCTTCTGTAATATTCTTAACATTATTCAAACTAATTTTAAGAAGAACTCTTAGTGTAGGAAATGGGTTGTTATTAATTCCTACGTATATTTTTTTGTTATGTAAATCATTAACAATCTTAAGTAAGGAATGTAGCATGTTTTTTTTACATGTGTTATTCTTAGCTCTAATTAAAATTATTGGTGATTTAATATCAGAAATTATAGTATATTTTAGAGAAATAAAATGTTTATGAAATACACGAACTTTTTTACGAAGTATTTTATAGTCAAAATCTTTATCTAAGGCTAGTCTATTAAAATTTGCTAATACACCAGGTAAAGATGCAGAAAAAACGTAGCTTGAACTGGCCAGTCTTTGATAATTCGCAAGGCTTTTATCGCCACAGAAAAACCCGCCACTCGACGAAAATCCATAACTAAAAGAACCTATTATTATTTCAATGTTTTTAGATTGTATATTGAAATATCCACACACGCCCCTTTTATGTAATAAAGGTATACTTAATGACTCATCCAATATAATCTTAAAATTAAACATTTTTTTAAGTTTTATAATTTTTGGAAGATCTAAAATTATTCCTTCATTCTTTGACAATCCCTCTACTATAACAAAATTACGACTCTTTGGGTCAAAATATAACTTTAATAAATTAATTAAAACATCAAAATTATCAAATTCATAACATTTTGACTTTGAAAGAGTCACTCCTCTGATTATTGCCTCATTGGCATATTTAAAATAAAAAATGGTGTCACTTTTTGTAGAAAAACATGATATAACACTGTGTATACATGTGTATGAATTAGAGTAAAGGAGGGAATCTTCTGTTTCTAGTATTTCTGATATTTTTTCTTGTAAAGCTAAGTGTACATCCAATGTACCGAAGAAAGTTGGTGGTCCGCATGTTCCAATGCCATATTCGTTAATAATTTCTTTTGATTCATCTTTAAAAAGGTCTCCTATTTCAAAACAATCATAAGAAGCTAGATTTAGAAAGTCTTTTGAATATTCAATATCTACAGCCAAATCTTTTGGTTGGGTTTCAACCAAATCTTCAGGTTCAAAATCATTTATAAGTTTCGCAACTACACTATCAGGAAGTTCAATAGCAGGCTTTTTAACTTTGTGGCGAAATCTAATAATTACATAGATAGTTATAATTTCCATACAAAACTTTATTATCTCTACTGGGTCATTAAAGATTCTTTTAATAAATATTTGTATAAACATTGAGGGTAAATGAAAAATAATTTGATAAATAAACAATATAAGTTTATTTTTATAAAAAATAATACATTAAATTTTATACAAAATGATTTGTCGTACAAAGCTTTCTTTTTTTAATATTAATATAATATTTTTTATTTATTATTTGATGATAAAATTAGAAATACTTACAAGAAGACAATGTTGTTAAATTTTTTTTAGAAATTGGTAAATATGCATTATTTTTTTTTTAAAAATCTTTAAGTTGTTTTTCGTAAATCTAGACTGCAAAAATTAATGTTAAATTACCTAATTATAAATAAATCTAACATTAATTTAACAAATTATACCATAAACTAAATATTATATAAAAATTAAATAAAATATAGCTTAAAATTGATTTAGCAAAAACCAATTATTTAAATTTATTCCATTAAATTACAAATATAATATTTCCACTATTTAAAATAATTTTTTTTATTTTATCAACCAGTTTGTTAAAAAAATATTTATTCTAATCCATGCATGAAAAGGAAATTTTCTCAAACGATGAAAATCTGAAAATATCAAATTTTAAAAATGCACAACAAATATTACAATACAACTTAAAACTTAAAAATTGTAAATCCTTAAAGGATTGTATCTATAGCCTGTATGATACTGTAATTTATAATGCTATCGATGCAAATTACAGAAGAAGAATTTTGTACGAATATTGTAAAAATGAAAAGATTAAAAAATATCATTCCTACGTTTTATGTTTGAATGATGATATTAAAAATTACGAAACATTTTGTAATATTATTACTGATCATTTTGACAATTATAACGAATTATACGAAATTTATGTAAAAAATAGAAGTAGTCATTTTGCTGTATTTAAAAATGAATTTTATAATAATAATTATAGTGTTTACACACCTATAAATAAAGTAGAAAAGCTTTCTTCTTTTACTTATGAATACTATTACATACTACTTAGAGATTATTCAATGAATTTAGGGATTGATAATGTTGAAGACACTATTCTTGATTTTTATTTTTTATTACAAGATTTATATTTTGATGAGAAAATCTTTTATAAAATGGATTATAAAGATGTACAGAATTTTATAAAAGATTCTACTAGTTATAAAATAATAATTAAAAGTGCATACCATCCCGAAGATATTTATTATTGTTTTATGCATAATTTAGAAGAGAAGTTTAATGATAAGTCAAATATTACAGAACTTGATAAGAGATCTATTGCAAGATATAATAAATTTATAGAAGAAACTAAAGAAGAAGGAGAAATATAAAAATTATAACCCCTTATGAAAATTGGCTATATGTTTGATGAAACTGTTGGATTGTATCATTATGGGCCTAAACATCCTATGAAACCATTTAGAATTATGGTTACACATTCACTTGTGAAATCAATGAAATTGGAAAATAAAATTACAGTTCTTAAACCGCAATTAGAAAAATTAAAGTATCACACAGAATCGTATTTTAAACAACTGGGAAAAAATGAAACATCAGATTGTCCAGATTTTTTTGGTTTACAAGAATTTTGTCATAAATATTATAGTGCATCAATTAATGCGGCACGATACATAAATAATAAGCAATTTGATGTAGTCATAAACTGGGCGGGTGGACTACACCATGCTCATAAAAACGAGCCTAGCGGGTTTTGTTACGTTAATGATATCGTAATGGCTATTTTAGAACTTCTTAAATATAATGAAAAGGTTATGTACATAGACATTGATGTTCATCATGGCGATGGAGTGGAAGACGCATTTTTACTTAATGATAGGGTTTTGACATTATCATTTCATAAATTTGGTAATGGTTTCTTTCCTGAGACTGGATCTTTAGTAACAAGCAATTATAAAGCAGTTAATGTACCATTGTTAAGTGGTATATCAGATGAAGGATATCAATACATTTTTGAACCTATTGTTGATGAATGCATCAAAAAATTTAAACCAAATGTGATTGTCATGCAATGTGGAGCAGATTCTTTGGGTGCAGATCGTCTGGGTGTTTTTAACTTGTCTGTTTATGGACACGCTTCATGTGTACGTTTAGTTAAAAATTACAATATTTCACTTATTGTTTTGGGTGGTGGAGGGTACACTCTTTGTAATGTAGCACGTTGTTGGGCATATGAAACTGCTATTTTATGTGGAGAGGAGTTTTGTGATGATATACCAGAAGATAATCAGTTTTATTCTTATTTTAGTCCAGATTACAAATTTAATCCTAAGTTTAAAAAAAAAGTGGCGGATAAGAACAGTAAAGAATATTTAGATTGTATATCAGAATTTATATGTGAAAGAATAAATAAATTTTAAAAAACATTAAAGTAATTTATTTGCAGTAATTAAATTGTTATATTTCTAATCGTCAGAACAGGAATACCTAACTCTTCAGCTAAAAATGTACCAGTTGATCTTTTAAATATTTTTTCTATAATATTCTTTTTTTTATGAATAAATACAATAATTAAATCTGTGTTAATATTACTGATACATTTCCTTATTTTATATTTTTCATCACCCAACAGTATTATCTTTACTACTTCTGCTTTCCTATTATTTATTTTTATAGCAAATTCTAAACTTTTTAAAAGAGCGATAATATTCCTTCGTTCGATTCCGTTCTTTGAATTTAAAGCGTTCAATGATGCGCAAATAGTCTGTGGATCATTAGCAGGAAACCATTTTTGTGATTCTATGAATATTAAAACTACCTTTTCTGCTTTTTGCAATAATTTCCATTCTGCTGTATTTCTATCATTTGTAAAATCTTGATTTAAATTGTCTATTACAATAGCAATTGTATTCATAGGGACATTAGAATGTAAAAAATAATAGTAAAAAAGGAGTAGTAAAGGATTGTGATACAGTAACATATAATAGCAATAATAAATAAAATATATTTAGTTAGTTAACGTTTATTCATCTAAAAAGGGGGTATGTGATATTCCCTTTTATAAATTAATAACATTAGATAAATTGATTTATGGTAAATTTTGTATAATAAAAATTATTTAATAAAATATTTTAAAAAAATATAATTTATTTGGTGTTTTTAGTAGTAATTTTTAAGAAATACTAATATATGTAAAATACTTGACTGAGAAGACATAAAGAATAATGTCTTAACCGATTCATATAACTTTGAATCAAAGGCATTTGTCGCAAGGCTATTGGTCGTTAAAACTATAAATAAGATTACACAATGAAGAAGATAAATAAATCAAATGAAGGTTTTTGTTCTGACAGATAGTTTTTTAATACTTAAAAAATATAACTTTATAAACCTTCTTTCTTTAACATAAATATTTTTAATTTTTAAACTACCCATGTTTGGATTATTTACAATGTTCTATGGCTTCTTACTAATTGGAAATGCCTTGGTGATTTTAGATGACAAGAGGTTTTTATCTAAAATAGGATTACCCTTATCACAAGAACATAGGAACTTTTTAGGAGAGAAAAGAAAAAAGATTGTTGATCTTCTAAACGGGTTGAGGACAGTATTAAGAATACCACTTATAATTGTTAATATATTGTGTATCATTTATGAGTTACTTTTAGGAAATTAAAATATTTTAAGTTTGAAAATTTTATTATTAGTCTTTTAGGTAAATTTTGTAGAAAATACAATTTACTGAATTGTAAGGATTTTAATAAAAGTAAATAATTTGTTAAAGACAATTTATCTACTAAAAAACCTCAATCTTTTTTAAACACTCAGAATCTTTCGCAAAATAGAATAAGAGAACTCTTTTATATCCAAATTCTGCTTTAAGGCGATTTGCAAGATCTGTCACAGATTCTGTTTTTTTAATTAAAGGAATCATGCCCCGATACAAATTAATAACTGATAATAATTTACAATTAGATGAAAATACGTAGGTAATAACACCCAATCTCATTTGATACAACCAGTTAATCGTCTTAAGATCATTTGTCTCTAGAATTATACATGTACTTTTGTTTTTTTCAATAAATGGACATTTACAACCAGTTCCGGTTGATTCAACATATTTTTCGGCGTTGTTAATTATTTCCATCATGTAATCTGCGCAAAGTAGTGGATTACTTCCTACTGCTGTTTCTCCACTAAGCATTAATGCATCATATTCATCAAGTACAGCATTCCCTATATCACTTATTTCAGATCGTAATGGTATTGTACTGGAAGTCATGCTCTCTAGCATCTGTGTGGCACAGATTACGGGCTTAAACTTCTTTATACATTTATTAGAAACATCTTTCTGTACACCGAACATTTCAATAAAACCCGTTTCTACACCCAAATCTCCTCTTGCCACCATTATTCCATCGGAAATGTCAATTATATCATCAATATTATCAATAGCTTTAACCGCTTCAATTTTAGAATACACCGGTATACCATCAGCTATCTCTTTTATTTTCAGTACATTTTCTTTCGATAAAATAAACGAGGCAAATATAACATCAATATTGTTCTGTACACCAAATAAAATGTCTTTTTTATTTTCATTATTCAAATTGTCATCTGGAAATTCAATCCCTGGAAAATTAGCCTTTTTATTATTTTTCAATCGATGCGAATTTAACGCTTTACCTTTTATGTGGTCGTATCCCAATTCAACTACTTCAAGTGTTAGCATCCCATCGTCTAAATAAAACTTCATACCGGTTTTCAAAACAGTAAAATCCTTTATTGGAACAAAAATAGAATTGGATTGTTTTTTCCTTGAGAATGTCAAAGTGTCATTCTTTTTTACATTAATTTCAGATGAATCGATTAAACTAATTCTAAATTCTTGACCTTTTGTGTCTAAACATATTGTTATAACTTTATCAAGGTCTTTACTTGCCTTTCTTAAATTTTCAATTACTTTCTTATGCTCTTCTGCCGATCCATGTGAAAAATTTATTCGAAAAATTGTCACTCCTTTAGAAATAAAAGATTTAATAATCTTTATATCATTAATTAAAGGACTCATAGTAATAATAACTTTGGTTAGAAGAGGAATTTTACCATTTTGAAATTCTCCATTCATAATTAAAAAATAAAATTTAATTTATAAAATTAAAAACCAATAAAAGTTAAATTAAAAATATGAATAATTTATTTGTTGATTTTAAATCATAAATTAACAAATATTATAACTTTTTATTTTCTATAAAATTTTTTGTATGGATTAAAATCTTTAGGAATTGTCAATCTACCTGCATTATACGAACTATTAGAAAAATCCAATACAGATGTTGATTTATCACTTTTTCTTTTCGTTGTTTTAATAATATCACACACCCTTTTTATTTTGTCGTTATTAATACTTTCTTTTTTATTAATACTCCTTTTTATATTTCTCTGCTCATTTTTACTTTTTAACTTTTCTATTTCTATTCTGGCTAGTTTAAGTAATTTTTTATAAACTTTTATTTGCTCTTTTAAATATTCTATTAAATTTATTGAACTAGTTATTTGGAACATCGAAATATCAACAGGTCTACTAAATAATTCTGTAGGATTTCTTTTAAGTTTTGAAGATATTGATTTATTTAAAGGTACAAAAGTAGTCTTGGTATTACAAATAACACAATAATCCGTTTCTTTAATACAATTATTACAAATGACATGCATACAATAGCTTATTAAAAGAGATGTGGAAGCAGTCTTATTTTCAGGATAATAACATAAGTAACAAAAAATTAAAGATTGTAAAAGTTCTTCTTCATTCATGCAAGAAATAAAAAAAAATTAAAACAACTTTTTATTATTCATTTTCTTAATACTAAAGAAATCATACTTGAAATACCATGCGTACCACCAGGAATAAATGTTATAGCGAAAATAATAAATGAAATGACTTGAATAACACAGAATAACAAATTAATAAAATAATGTCCCATAGTAAGTGTCGTATAAATTGTCGTAAAAGTACTTAAAATAAAAAAAGAAGTGTAGACTCGCTTTTTTTCTGAGAACAAATTCGAAATGTAAGACCTAAAGCCAAGAATAAATCCAAACATAAAGAAAAATACAAAGTTAGAAAAAGCATAAGGAAGAGCAAATTGAGCAGGATAAATTACAGCAGTAAACACTTTCACCATAGCATAAAAGAATGATAAAAGCCCAATGACAAAAAAAATTATAAAAGCTACAGCTCTTTGCATAAGAGTAAGTCCAAAGTACTCCAGATCATATTCTCTTTGTTTAAATATCTGTTCATATCTGGGTGGTATTGTAAAGAAAATTTGTTTCTCTTTTGTTTTTAATGCTTCTTGAAGTGGATCCATTTTATTTATGCCCTTTTTTATTTTTATTTTTATTTTTTCAAAAAAGGAGAATTTGTTTTAATAAAAAAACAAAATAATAAACATAAATCTTTTATTAAAAATAAATCTGCCAACTTCAATCATTAGACATTGTAAAGGCTTCAAAATCTGCAGAATCTTCATCTTGTTTATTTAAAGATTTATTGTTTGCTATTATATTGTTTTCATGTCTATAAAGATCTTTAGCACTAACAAATCCTCTTGCTTTTTTTTCTATTTTTCTTACATTGTTAATAAATTCTTTATCATAACAACAATTTCCTAGAGAATTACCGTATTGCCGCAAAGCTCTTTTTAAAGCGTCAGTGACAGCTTCTTTTTTTGCTTTTTCAAAAGCTTCACATTTTCTTCTCTGATTTTCTGAACTACCGTAACCAATATCTTCTTTGTGTGTACCATCTTTTAAAGATATTCTTACGACACATGAAATACCAATATTCCATTTTGAATCTTGATTATCACAATAATCAATTTCCATTTTTATTATTTGTGAATTCCAGCCATTAAATCCAAAAATTTGGTTAGCTAATGATATGACAGTCCACCCTTCAACATATGGAACATTTGTTTTACCAAAGCCTTGTCTATAGCTTATATATTCCGGTGCCAGTTTTTTATTTAATAGTTTTGATATGCGAACTTTTTCTTCTGAAGTAAAGTTTTTTTCAGAATCCATGTTTTATCTATGCATATAAAAAAATTTACAAAAAATATAAATAAGAAAGTTTGTTTATAAAAAAATACAAAAAAAAATTACTTGTTTTTATTTAAAAAATACGAGAAGAATACAGAAAACACAACAACAATGATAGATAGTGCTACTTGTGGTGCAGTGGTAGTAGGAATAAATCTGGAAACTATATGTAAGACGAATACATTTGCAATAAAAATCAAGGATAATATCAGGACTTGTAATGGAGTGATTAGAAAAAGCGATTTATCATCATAAAGTAGTTCATTAAGCTTTTTTTGTCTTTGTTTAAAATGATGAATTTGTATTTTTTGGTTTGCCATAAGGGCTAATAATTTTAAATTTTATAAAAATACTTATTTAGGAAAATGCTTTTATTTTTTAACACATTCCATTTTTTATTGATAGCCTAACAAATAGAAAGATTAAATGTATAAAAATGATAATAATCAATAAAGCTTCTCTTTGATATTAATATTGTTTTTAGTCAATATTGTAATTAAATTTTTAGGTTTAAATTTGTCAATTCCCTTAAAAAATGATTTATATAAAATTAAATTTTACAATTATTAATGATCTATTTTATTTAGTCAATTTTTAACAAAATTAGAAAAATATTTAAAACATTGTTTTATAATATACTTATTTTGTTAAAGTTACATGAGAATTACACTTCTTACACTATACTTTAATTACTAATATAATGATCGCAGTACAGTTTTGTGATTAATCTATACTACTTATTTAATTCATTAGGATTTCTTCTTATTCTTAATTTTTAACCAAATTTTTATTTTTGCAAATAAAAGCTGTTTCGCCTCATCAAAATATGACTCTTAACATTTGAAATTGCATCTTTGGGTAATCAAAGTATTTTTTTTGAAATAATTAATTTTTAGGATTTAAAAGAATAATGTCTGTTTTTTTTCTGATATGGAATTGGTATTAGCTCGATAAAATAAAAAATAAAATTTTAAGTTAAAATTTGCCTTTTCAATATTTTTTATGTTGTCAAAATTTTTAATTTTTTTCTTGCCACATTATCCTGCATTTATTTCTATCTATATTTTTTTTGGATCAATTTGTTGCTTGTAAAAATATTGAAATATTAACTACTTAAATTTACTTATACAAATAAACTAATTATTTTTGTCTCTTTATATCAATGTATTGCATTATTTTTCTAATCTTGTGATTTCTAAGTGTTGGAAGTTATTTTTTCTTTTAAGTTTCCTCCTATTAAAGATCACAGCATTGGCAGCAATAGTCTATTAGCTATTATAGACTGATCTAAGAACTGAGTTTCAAAAAAAAATTTAAGAAAAATTTTAACAATAAAAATGTTATCTTTAACTGCCAACAGTAAGCCAATTTTTTGTACCTACCACTCTATTTTTATTATTCTCTTACGTTTTTTATGTCAATTATTATTTTTTAATTTTACAATAACCCTTGTATGATTTTTTTTAATATACTTTATTGCATTTGTGTAATGAAAAATACACTAGGAAGGCAGAAAAGAAAAAGATACAAAGTTTCCACTTGTAAACTCACTTTTAGATCAAAAAATAGTTATTATAGCAACAAACATCACCAGGATAATAGTAAACCTGATTTTATTAATAATCAACACCAAAACAATTTTACCGAAAAAGTACAAAAACAAAGTAAAAATATTTCTGTAGAACAAAAATTCAATAACTCGACACTAAATTCTATTAATGACATTAATTGTTCTAACTATTTTCTGTTATTTGATACAAATAATGATATTAGTAATCTTATTTCTAATCTCCAAACTGATTTAAATAGTATTATTAATAAATTCAAACGTAATAATTTGCCTCAAAAAATTACTACAAGAAAAGTTCTAATAATTAAAAATAAAATGGATACCTACGAAAGAGAGTGGAAATTAAAAAATAAAAATTTGCATAATATTATCACTAACAAGTTATATAAACTTAAAATACACATAAGAAGATTAGTAACAGAACAAAGCAAGCAAGAAAGACTTATTCAAATAGTAAAAATTGTTAGAATAATTTTAATAAAAATTTATATTTTGAGAGTAAAGTTCTCAAACACATCAAATGATTTTATTTATAAATTGAAATGTTATGTTTTTATTTTAAAAGTGGTACGGCATTTAAAATATAGAATTCCTTCAGACTGTTTTATTGAAAGGCTTAGAGATGAAATTGGTATTAATACAGAAAGTAGTTATAATTTAGATGCCGATGTTAATTATGATTTTATTGAAAAAGAGGTATTTGATATGTGGGATTATTTTGACAAATATTTTCAACCTCTTAAGAGAATTATAGCAAAGATGAAAGAATCAGTAATAATAACCTAAATGTTTTTATATAAATTTAATTAATTTAATTAATTATAAATACAAACTACAAATAATACAAGGTATTTTTGATAAAATAATCTTTAATTCTTTTTTTTTAAATAAAAATCAAACTGATTCTTTGAATCTTTGTATTAAATTTTAAATTAAAAAGTATATAACAATAATACTAAAAAGAATCTTAAAAAGTTATATTGTCTCCTTTAATCCTTGTTAAAAAAATATATTTTTTTAAATTTATTTAATGATTGTTCAGAGGATAAATAGAGTTAGGAATTTATTCTTATTTTATAGATCTAGTAATAATTTATAAAAAAATGTTATACAACAACATAAAAAAATGAATTTATAAAACTTAGTAAATATTAATTGTTAGATAAATTAATATAAAGCAAAATTAAGACCTAAAATTGTATATCAAATGAAAACGCGTATGTTTCTGTATCTTTGTTTTTTAACAGAGGATAAGCCAATGAAATGTCAATATTTGGGCCATAATCATCTTTTCTAAGTGGCACATTCAATCCAAGTCCTACAGAATGTCCTAGTGATCCTGGGGATTGAATTTCGGGTTTACAAATATATTCAAAAATATTTTCTTTCGCATGATTACAACCAATCGAATTAAAAAAATACAAATCCATTGTTTTCATCTTAAAAACAAGCTTATTTGTGATTTCTAAAAAAGATCTTCCTCCATTATTCTGTCCATTACTGGGCAATATACTATTGTTTTTATATCCTTTAATATTGTCACCCAAGTAGAATTTATCTACCTGATTAATATTTCCTTGTGCGATACCAGTTCTGAAAAGTAGCTTGTATTGAAGAAAGGTCGCTAAATTATAATAAAATTTTAAATCTGTAGTAATTTTTAAAAAATCTAATCCTTTTTTTATATTAAAATCTACAAAAGAATATTTTCCTCTAACAAACAGGTATTTATCTAATCCAATTCCCACATCAAGATATTTATGACGTATTCCCAGTTCTTGCTTGTCTACTGTATATTCTTTATTTAATATTTTCTTAATACACCTGCTTGAATTAAAATCTGCAAATAAAAGACATTTACTAAAAATAAATGGTTTAGATACTGCAATCTTATACTCTTTAGTAGAATTAAAACTAAAATCAACATTCTCTCCACTACCGAAAATGTTAGGAAAAGTTATGTTTAAACAATTCTTATTCTTTCCTTTAGACATTAAACTTATTTTATTTTTATCTTCTACCACTGTCATTTTATTTCCACCTACAGACATGTATGAGAAAATATTGAGCTGAGAAAGATTATCCTTGAGTGTTTTAATATCTGAAGATATTTTAGACAGCTTTGTTAAAAAATTTTCTTTTGTCTTTTTGTAGCCTGTGAACTGAATCTTCATGGGTTTATAAAAGACACTAATTCAATATCTAAAAAATCAAGTCAAAATTTCATGTAGATAAATTACAAAACTTTTAGAAATCGTTGTCTTTTGATTTAAAAAACGAATATTAAAATTCAGCTATAAAAAATATTTAAAGATAAATATTATTTATTTAAAATCACCTTTATGTTACACTTATATACAAACGGAGAATATTGGTGTCTTTAAGTCTGTCAAATTTTGATAAAATCATATTTTTCATATTGAAAATGAAAATAATAAATTGTGCCATAATTAAATTTTTATTACAATGTAAATTACTGTTAAATTAACTTTTTAATTATACTATAGTCTTAACTGATCCATATGAGAAATTTCTAATAAGTCCTACAAATGGAGTCATACATCCTCTCAACTCAATTTCTACTTCAGTACCCACTTCACCACGTATATCATATATACTTCTACAAATTTCATTAATAATCTTTTTATCTCCTCGTCTAATAATTCGAGACCATATCATTTCTTGACTGCCTGTTGAATAATTAATCCTGGCGTATAAAAATATTATTTTAACATTGAAATTAAATTGCGAAGTTAAATCAATTTTAGGATTAAAAGTTATTATCCTTCTGTGTCCTTTAGACAACACTTCTTTTATCTCCATATTTGATTTAGGCGGCGCTTTTTCTATCAACAGTGAACATAAAAATATTGAACCAAGAAGAACTACCGTAGGATAAAATATACCAGAAAAACAAAATGAAAACCTTTGTTTAGTGAATTGCATAAGGGTAAAAATTTTAAATGTTTTTATTTTTAAAAAGTTTAAATAATTTCAAATTTTTCTTTTAGAAAGACTAGCAGTTGTAGGTGTTCTTCAGTCAACTCATCTCTATAATACTGTTTTAAGAGATCTATACTTTTTCTTGTAATTATAGAATAAAAAATACTTTTTTCATTGAAATGTCTACCATACATTTTAGGCGAATCTGTGTTTTCTATTTTTATTGCCACCTTTTGACCTTTAGTAGCTTTATCAACTTCCTTTTTATTATTCTCTATCGATACAACTTTACCCATTTTAATAATTTCACTATCTTTAAAAATACAGACAGGTGTATCAACTTTTAAAGTGCCTTCCTCAACATGTACACCAAGAATAAGAGGAGATCTTTTAGTAAAAATACAATTTTGTACAATACTTAATTTGGCAGGAAAAATAACTTCATTAAAATGAATTTCTTTAGCCTTTGATTTCATATTATTAATATAATTTGTATATTGATCAAATAAATGATAAATAATTTTAGCTTCAAAAATCTTTATATGTAGATTATGAGCCAGGTCTTTAATATCTTTATCAACAATGACATCAAAACACAAAACTGCACCATATTCATTATTTTTTTCTTGATTTGACGCAATAATTAATAAATCTTTCTTTTTAATCGATCCAATACTCACAGCAGATACCTTAATTTCACTTTTCTTTAGAAAACTTAAAAGTGCCTCCAAAGAACCTAATGTACTAGCAACTACATGTACACCAGATTCATCTAATTTAATAGAAGAAATTACAGACTGATAGTCTTTATCTAACTTTAACTTAACTTCCTCCTCATTATTATTTATTACATACACTCTGCTTCCCGCAATTGCATTATCACAATTATGTGCAAAAATTTTAACACCAAGACTAGCCTTTACATTTTTAACTTGCTGATATTGGCTCTTAACACGCAACTCTTTTAAGGGCTGGGGAAGAAATAATGTACGAATTGTAGTAACAACAGGTCCTTCTGTTGTACTAAATCCTATTTGATCCCCAATATTTAATTCTCCGTTACTTAAAATAACATCTAATGTATATCCAAATCCTTCTGTATTTTTTACTTCTAAGATTGTACATTCTACTTCTTTATTTAAAAGCATTTTAGATTTCATATATTTCTCACAAAGTTCTAAAATCAAGGATATTAAATCGGGTATCCCTTCTCCAGATATTGCAGAAGTAGGTACTAAAGAAATAAACTTTTTATCGTTAGGATTTTCAGAAAATAATGTAGCATTTAATCCAATTTCTGCAAACTTTCTTTTAATATAATCTAAATAGTTTTTAAATTCTTGCTTTGTATTTTTATTTTGTGCATCAAATGCTTCTCTAAAGTGTCTATATTTTTCAGATTTCCATCCATACAATCTGTCAATTTTATTAAGTGCCACAACAAAAGGTGTTTTTCGACTTCGTAAAAGTTCTATACTTTCTAACGTTTGTGGTTCTAGCCCATGGACAATATCAACAACCAATATTGCTAAATTGCATATTGAAGAACCTCTAGACCTTAAATTTGTAAAAGATTCATGGCCAGGAGTATCAATTATAAGTATACCTGGCAAATCACCGGTTTGCTTTCCACATTTTTTTGCTAATTCATACGCAGGGAAAAAAGTAGCACCTATTTGTTGTGTAATACCACCCGCTTCTTTCTCTTGTACATTACTTTCTCGTAATTTATCTAATAACTTCGTTTTTCCTGTATCCACATGTCCTAAAATGCAACAAATTGGACTTTTATGGGTTGATGATATTTTTTGCTCTTCTTTTTTAGGTAAATCTTTTGGTTTTTCTTTACTGATCACTACTCTGGAAAAAGATCTTTCTAAATTTCTTTTCTCTTCTTCTTCACGATATTTTTCTTCTTCAAGTTGGCGAAGTTTTTCTTCAATAATCGCTTGTGCTTTTTTTTCTTCCAAAATCATAATTTCTTTTTCTTTTCGTTTCATTTCTTCTTCGCGTTTTCTCTCAAGTTCTTCTTTTTTCTTCTTTTCATTTTCCTGCATCATTTTTTTTATTTCTGCTATAGACATTTTTCCTTTCTTAAATCCTTTGGAATTGACCGGCATTTTTTTATTAGAAGGTGGTATGGAATTTTTAGTATTTAGAGATCCTTTACCCGTGTCTGATGGTCCTACTGACAAATCTAAATTGTTATTTTTTACTTCATTTTGCACCCCATTAGAAATATCATGTAATGAATTTATAAAATCATCTTTTTTTTTATTTTTCTTACTTCCCATTAAGGGCCAGGTTAAAATTTTATTTATGCCCCGTTATGCCAAAAAATAATATTTTTATCGCAAAAATAAATTCTATAACATCTAAATTTGACAAAAATGAGCAGAAAATTCTACACAATTTTTTAATAGAAGAATCTCTTGACAATTTATTTAATGAAAAGCCCATTTCAAAAAATAAAATAAATTTATTTTTTCTTCTTAAATCATTTTCTGAATCTGTTTATGAAAACAAAAAAGAAATTTTGATGCGACATAAAGCCATTCAAACACGCGCGCTTATTCTGGACCTTATAAATACTGATTATTCTATTGATATTAAATATATTTATAAACCTGAAAAATGGATTTTTGCAATTATTAAGGATATAAATGATTGTTTGATTGATTATCCAGATTTAATTAATTTATATAATAAATCACTTATTCAAGAATTTAGGGATATTTTTCTCAACAAGGTTGAGAAATATGGATCTAATGGAAATCAGCTACTTGTGAATTTTTTATATTATATTAAGTTTATAAAGAATTATGTGGATTGTGATTTTACCATTTTCTTAAATGAAATAAAAAAGCAAATTAATCCTTCAAAGTTGTATAAGGATATTGAGCTTAATAATATTGTTGATGAATCTTTTGATTAAACATTTATTCATTTTTAAAGTTTTTTTATTTATCCCTATGGTTTCACATGGCATTAAAGACACACTGACATACTCAAATATACTTAATGAGGATATAGAGAAGAAACTTAACCGAATAAAAATTAATAAAAAATATTTAAATTACATGAATAATATCGAAACATCTTTTGATAGTAATTCTTCTTCATTCACAAGTGGAGTAAATTCTTTTTATGAAGATTTTGTAAAGAAAAAGAAAAGTAATAATGTTAATATGGTAGACAATGTAAGGTTAGATGATGATGAAATAATACAGGATCTAAATGAAATTTATGATGATGGTGGCCTTATGGTTAGAATACTAGATTCTTCTGTTTATATTAATTCTGAAAAATTTAGTAAACATGATAAAGTGTTGGTTAAAATGGATAAGGATGAATACCTTGGTTCAATTACCGGTGTAGATACTGATGTTGTAATAAAATTTAGAGATGGAAGAAGAAATAGAATTAAATTGGAAGACATTAAAAATGGAAAAGTTAATATAACAAGATATATAAAACAATAAAAGTTTTATTAAATAGTTTAATTTTTATGTATAATTAAATTTTATGTAAAGATTTGGTTTTCTATGTTTTGCTTCCTAGCACTTAAGAGTAAATGTTTTTGTTGATAATATTACCCTTGTCTTCAGATATTCTTATATCTCCTCGTTTTGTTACCCTGGAGAGATATTTTGAATAGTCTAATGGAGAGCTATCAACTGTAAATGTGTCTTGTTTTGCTTTTAAATTAAATTTCTTTTTTAATTTAATTATTTTTATGTATTATTTAAAAGTGTTATTTTTTCTAATTAATTTTTTATTTATAATTAATTATAAATTTTTATTTTTATGTAATTTATGCCGTAAATCATTTCAAACCTCTCAAAAATATAAATTTATGCGCAATAAAAGAATCTTTATAATGTTCCTTCTTAAATTAAATTTACTAAAAGTGTGTTTGTAAAATTTGTTTAATATATGTGATAAGTAATATTTATATTATTTTTTGTTGAAAGGTTATTACAAATCATATTCTTTTTGAATATGATATTTAATTTAATTATTTTTTTTGTATTTAAAAAACCATGTTTTTGGATAATCATTTTTACATACCAACATTTTTAATTACAATAGTTACTTAAAGAAATTTAAATAGAGTAATGTTTTGTTAAATCTATAATACTATATAAATTATACATCATATGTAACACATTAATAACAATATTTTTTATCTGTGTTATAAATAAAAGAGCAAGAATTGAGCTAAAAAACAAACTTTAAAAAAATTAAAAAAAGTAGAAAGTCAAGAAAACTTTTACATATTTAATAAATAGTATTTATATCAAAAAAAAGTAAATTAAATCCTACATTTATAAGTGTTAAAAATATAAATAACAGAATAAATTAAAAATATAATTGTGCACAATTTTATTACATTAATCTTTTTGCATACATAAAAAAACAACCCTGTAAAATTCTTACAAAAAAATAAACATAAAAATAATGAAATTCAAATAACCAGTATAACAACAAAATCTCTAATTAAAAATGTATAATTTATTGCTAAGCACAAATAATAGTCTGTAAAAACCTTTAATTCACTTTAAATCTAAAGAAAAAATCTTTTAACATCACTGACATTATATGAAATTCCACACGTTGGACATTTTCGATCTCTTAGTTTTATCCTTGTATTAATACAAACATCACAAAATGTATGCATACAAGAACTTATAGCGATATTTTTAGCATTGGTTTCACATAAAGTACAAGTCACAAAAGGTGTACTGAACTGTTGTTTATTACATGTAGATAATCGATCAAATATTTCATTTTTCATATCTTTAATCATATTTTCCATATCTTCCAATTTCTTCTCTAAACATACATTTTCAATATTTTTAATTCTTAATTCATCTTTGTATTTGTCCGATATTTTCATCCTTTCAACATTTATTCTGATCAGTCTATTTTTTTCTGCTGTAACTGCTTTTAATTCTTGTGACAAATCAGAAATAACTTTTTTCTGTTTTGCAATATCATCAATAAACTTATAATAATCATTTGGAGGATATAAATTATTTTTAAAAAATATATCTGTTTTAAAATTCCGACAACACCTATCCCTTTCTAAAATGTTAACTTCTAATTGCAAATTTTTATTATCTTGTGTAAGAAAATCACATGCTTCTAAAAGATTACTAATTTCGGTATCATAAAATTCGTCGCCTGAGCATAGATTTTCTTTATTTTCAAATAATTTATAATTTTTTAATTTATTTGCCAAATCAGTATTTAGTTTGCAAATAGAAACACATTGATTTTTAATTTCATTATTAAGTTTACAAAAATCATTAATTGTATTATACAAAAATTCTAAATGTGTCTTGGTGTTTTGTATTTTTTCGTTTAATAATCTAATTTGTTCATTTTTCTTGAAATCTTTCTCTTTAACAAAATTTTTCAATTCTTCTAATTTTAATAGAGTGTTATTATAGTTTTCACTAATATTATTATATTTTTTATAAAACTCCTCATACTTAACTTTGGATTCTATAATTTTATAGTTAGAATTAATAATTAATCTTTCTTTTTCAATAAGACTGTATTCTACCTTGGTTTTTAAATTAATTATATCATTTCTTGTAGTTTCTTCTTCAGTATTAGCATCAGTGCTTTGAACAGTTTTTGACATTATTTGCAATTTAATAATTTTGTTTTCTAATTCGATAATAGCTTTATCTCGTTCTTGTAAAATTTGACGAAGATTAGAAATTAATTCTGAAACCGATTCATACTCTCCATCATATTGTTCTTTAATATTTATTTTATAGTTATTTACTATATTTTCAATATTATTAACTGAATCATCTAGTTCATAATTAGAATTAGTAATATTTTCTTTGTTACAAATTTTATTGTCATCAATGTGCTTTTTTAATAGTTTACAGTTCTCGATTTCTAAATTTTTATACTTCTGTTCTAAAGTATTATATAAATCTTTATATATTTTTAACTGGGTAAATAAATAACATTTTTGCATAGAAATAATGTTTTCTTCATTGAGTAACTTTTTTAGTTGCAAATTTACTTTTTCTATGCAATACTCCGGTTTGTGTTTTTTTTTATTCATTTTTGGAGGGATAAAAATAAGACAAGAAATCTATAAGAATAATTATTTTAACATATATTTAAAATAAATAAGATATTGTTTACAAACCATTTCATTCAATAGATTGAATCTTTTAAATACGTTCGTTTTTAAAAACAAAAAAAAATAAATCTTATTTTATGCTTAGGAAATATTTAAACAAGTAAGTATTTGCTTCAATAAAATATAATTCTCTTCTATACTATCTTACTGAGAAATAAGAATTTAAATTTTGTTGTAGTATAAATAAAAAACAAGTTTATTATAAAATACTTTTATAAAGAATAAAACAATAATTTTTTTAAGATTGATATAATAGATCAATAGATTGTATAACCGAGGTGTAAGCTAGAGATTACATTTAATTAAAATCTATTTATGCTAGAGAAGAATTTAAGATTTTTAGATCCAAATTAAAAAATCATTCTTTTCTTGTTTTTGTTGAAGGCAGTCTTTTCTACAACATAAAAAATTTATCATTTCTATTTTGGAATTTTTTAGAAAAAATTTACTTTATAAATTATGTTTAAAAAAGGGTATCTAGGATGATTAAGGAAAAAAAAGGTAGGCTTAAAAAAATTAAAAGACGCATTAGATAAAAGTTTTTATATTAGAAATATTATTGAGTAGTATCTACTCACCAGGTGGGTTTTCCGATCTACCACAGTTTTATTAATAAAAAACATATTAAACATAGTATTGTTTTTTCTTGTTGTCACTTTTTTTTAATTACTCTAATAAAACAATTAATACTTTTCTTAATAGAAGTGTTCAACCTTTTTAAAATTATTTACATAAACTTTAAAAAAAATGTTTTTATAAATTCTTTAAAAATTTATTAAAAATTCTTTTTATGCAAATACTTCTATTTTTAAAAAATAAGCTTTTTAATTTTAAATTTTACTTAAATTTGTAAATTAAAAAAATTAATATGATAAACATTAAACGTTAATTTACAAGCTTTTAATTATTTTCTAGGTTGTCTTAAATTATATTTATTCCAAAAAGAATTATATTTAATATAATTTTTATAGCTAGCATAAATCTTATTCATCATTTTCGCTACAACGTTTAATTAAGGAACAAATTTATAACATCTAGACACACAGTATAAAAAAACAACTACACATCTATGTTATGTTTTCATATATAAATATCAAATCATTTATGCAAAATAATTTTTAAATAAACACAAAAATAGTTATTATAAAAAATATTTTAATTAAATAATTATAAAATAAAATTTTAGAACTTTAAAATAGCATCATGAACTTACAATTAAAAAAAATCATATGTTACTAATTATTTAATTTAAGTTTTTAGGATAAATAAAAAAAAATTGTAGACCCTTAAGATATGAAGAAATACTTTTTTTATTGTGTGCTGTTACAATATAATATTTCTGCATCAAATTCTATTGAGAATTTTAACTTGGAAAGAAAGAAATCCGGCTACAATGGTGATCAGGATGATTTTGAGAATTCAGGTAGTGGGTCAATGGATTCGAAATACTATGATGAGAATTTTTTTACTACAGAGAAAGTTGATCTCTCTACGAGTCGGAGTAGAAAAAAGTCTGTTTTACATAAATCTGCTAACGAACCGTTAAGAGAAGATTTCGATATCAAGGCTAAGAACCGAAAGCCATTGTGTCAAAAAATGTTGCAAGATTGTCGTCGAAAACGTTTCTTTGGCACGCAACGTGTAGAAAAGTGTATTGTAAATGATGATGATGCAATCCTAAAAGCTTCTCGAAAATTTTTTGGTATTTTAAAAGCGAATAAAAATGTACAAGATTATGTAGATATGTTATCTCAACTTTCAAATGTCAAATTTCATTTAGATAGGTCTAAGTTTACAGAGTATGTTTTTTCAATTTTAAAGGAGGAGAAAAGTGATATGAGTTTTGATAAGGAGTTTGATTTTTTTACATATTTTCTTGCTCGGTGTAGTTATATGTTGATTTTTCGAATAAGTGTAAATCCAGCGATGAAAATAAAAAACGAAGTTTCTGAAAGGATATGGTCTGAGATTGAAAGAAGCTTGGAAATTAAACTTTATTCAAACTGTTTATGGGAAGTTCGGCAGTTATTTAAAACTAAAAATTATATTAAAATAGTACAAAGTCTTGAATCGATAATAGACGATAAAGATCTAGTGAAAGATCCAAAATTGAAGGATATACATGAAGCTTTGAAATTTATGGATGATGTAAATGACGGAAAGTATTTATTTACTAATAGGCGTGTAGAAGTTGTAAAAATTGATTGTGTAAAGGAAGCTTCGAAAAATGAACAGGTTAAAACTTTTGAAAATACTGGTAATAACAGTAATAAATTTGACAGTAGAACGAATTCTGGAGTGAAGTATTATGGTGGTAATTATAATGGTACAAATTTCAATTTTCCATTAACAAGTAGCAATATTTCTCAGCAAAACTTTTCTGCTTTACCTAATTCTAATGGTTTCGATGCAGATGCATCATCTTATCAATTATGTCTCAACAATGCGGCGGAAGTAGAAAATGATAATATTGTATTAGTGAGTGCTGTGTTCTTTCCATTGATTTTTATATTATTTATTATAATTTTTATATGGAAATGCTATAATTGTAGACTACCTAAGAAGAAATTTAGCGAATGTAAGATTAAGAAAGATGTAAATGAGGACTTGGAACCATTAATTAAGAAAGATAGCAATTCATATGGGAGTGTTGACGAACTGAGCTTGCCTTAATAAAAGTCAACTAAACAAGTTTTTCTTCAAAACTTTGCAGTTTTTAAATATTTAATGTTTTTTTTATTTAAATTAAATAATCAATGCGTGAATTAATTGTCGGTTTGATTTGTTACGATTATAGGGAATTGTACAGTGTTCACCACTTATATAAAATATTAATTTTTTCTGTAAAAAAATTAAAAGAGTATGTGTATTTTGGTTTAAGAAATTTATTTGAAATATGCATATAGGGTAACTTCTAGTGAGGTGGCCAAAACAAAAATATCATTCTGATAGAAACAAATGAAGGAATTGATTTTATTACTATATCTATTTGACTATGCTATTCACAACATTTATTTTAAGAATTTAAAATATAAATTTTTAAGAATTTTTTTATAATTAACTAGTTTACGCTATCACGCCGAAAACGGGATGACCACAAATATATTGTGTATTCTTTCTTTTTAATAAATACTAACTTACGCTCTCTTGTTTATTGAACGGGACTTTAATTACAATGTTTGCTTTTTAATAATATGTATCTTGCGTCAATTGTTAACATTTATGCTTAAAAGTTCATAATCTGTTGTTTTTATCTTGTATAAAAACTGCAGCAACACACTTTTAAAATTAAATTTTTGAATACAACTCAAAAAAATATAGGTAATGTTTCGTCTTATATGTAAATTAGTTAAATAAACAACATTGTTATTGCTTTTAAAACAAAATTTTTAAAAAAGGCCTAAAAAATAAAAAAATATTCAGATTCAAACTTTTTATATATATTGACTAGCTTGCGCTATCCCGTTTATAAAACGGGATCAAAATAGTGTTTGTTCTTTTTTTTTGGTGGTTTCTATGCGTCTTTATGCATATTTTTATAATTTTTAATTATAAATTAGCCCTTTTTATTATTAATTAAAATTTGCTATATACACCTTGTATAAGATTAATATAACTGAATAAAAGCAAATGAAAATGTACAAAAACACCGTTTCGCACTTAGAAAAAAACCCTTTATGATGCTACTCGTTCTTTACAAAAAATACAAAGAATTTTACAAATTTTTAAAAAAGAAGGGTTAAAAAATAAAAAAATGTTAAGATTCAAACTTTTTATATATATTGATTGATTGATGATAGCTTGCGCTGTCCCGTTTTAAAACGGGACTTAAACATTATAATTGCGTTATTTGGCTAAATATTGTTTTATTTTTTTTCCAGGTTCTAATAACTTTTTTTTCTTTATTAAAATATTTATTTTATTATTTTTTTACTGCTACATAAGAATTATATGTATAGCTTACTAATTTATTAAATA